TGGCAGACTCAGCCGAGACCTTTCCATAGGCTCGAATCACTGGATTGGTTTGTTCCTGAAGTGCTTGTGAGAATGATGATGCAACACATGATGAGCCTGCAAGAATCTACAAGACATGCACTCACGGGAACTCTGATTGCCACTGCAAATCCTCGCACTTTGGTGGACGCAAGAAGCTCATTGGCCTTATCATCAAAGCTGTCCGCCCACACCAAAGGAAGGCTAAGCAATGCAGCCACCAGTGAAAGTAGAGGAGGCCTCATACCAGCAGCGGTATTTGTAGATGTATTACCTCAAAGCCACCATATTTTGCAATTGGTACCGCAGTTTTGAATTGAATCCAGCAGTGCTTGTTGGGCGCCATTTGGAGAGGCTGCACACGAGGAGTTCTGGACGTTCTGCATCGCCAAACATCATGAGGTTGAATGATGCGAATCGAATCGAGTCGATTCGAATCACACTCAAATCGAATTCATTCCAATAATTGAAATAGTATTCGGACGGGGGGGATGGGGTAAAACGTGATGGTTTTAGAAATTGCACGGAGCCCTTGCACTAATCCGCTCGCATCCACCAGTACAAGTCTAGCTAGAAGTCCATTCTAATGCTACCCCCTGTCTGCTATCTTCTTTCCTCCTTTTACAATATATTCTCATACTAACTAAGTCAGATACAAGCTTACCGGTAGCTAGCAAGTAGTGGTTGATGATTGTTATTGTTTTGTCAATGCCAGCATGGGAACTGGAAAGATGTCGGGGGGAAAGTCCGTTTGCATCTTTTGGTAAACCACTTTCAGACCAGCCTTTTCAATCAACTTCAACCAATACGGCAACGATCGACAGACTGATACATCGTCATTGTCCACCACAAAGGTTTCCCCATCACCAGTTGTATTTTCTTTCACCACGATCACTCCCTTGCCATTCGGTAGCAGTGAATCCGCACATCGATTCAAAAAGCAAATGACATCGTCATCCGTCAAATATACAAGACCCATTGAATCCAGATAATGGTATAATACCGGCCCGATGGAGGAGTCCAATCTGCAAACCACTGCAATAAAATTTACAGTTGGCCGCTCCTTCTTCGCCGATATACTCGGGACTCTCGCATAGCAATCGAGACGACGATTCCACCAAATCAACCTGAGTCACTCCCAATGTAGTAGCAAACCCTTGGTAACACGGCCAATTCCAGCTCCACATTCACAACCAGCCCCCAGGGTCCAATCCAATGTGGGTTGTTGTTGTTGCTGCTGCAGTTCTTGTAAAATGCATGGGACCCCTTCAAATCAATCTCACTGATGGACGCAAAACCACCCAAGACGCCATCCACCGTTGCAGGACAATTCTCTTCGTACCAATCTGTGGCCTTGTCATACCACACTTGTTGGATCCGGGAGCGGGGAGTATAGGCACCCACTCCCTGGGCATTCCACATTTCGGCAATCGACGCATACTGGCGGCCGCTCGAATCGGAACCGGATTCTGGATCATCATTCTTGATCGAGGCGCTGTTGTTGTTGGTTGTGGATGTTGACATTAGTATCTATTCGTTCACAGGAGCTTGCTACCATGCATACCCATGCCTTCTTTGGACAACATCTTGAGCGAGAGGTTCCGCGAAGGAATAATTGTGTGGTGAAGAGTAAGCATGGGGTGGGGAGCCGACAATGAAAAACAGCTTAACTGGCTGAGTACAGCGTCACTTTGCCAAGTTGATTCGATTCGAATCGATTCGAATCGAATCGATTCGATTCGATTCGATTCGATTCGATTCGATTCGATTCGATGATCATTACATTCAACAAGGGTGGATGATAAGCCGTTAATTAACGGGATGTTTTCAGGGACGAGTGGCGATGCCCAACGCCAACGCCGGTAAACCGTACATGACGGTGATATTAGCTAGCTAGCCTAGCATATGCATGGACCATACAGTACATGTATTACTGTATGATAGTACTTACCGGCATGGCGTCATCATCCAGCACCCTCTAAAAGTTAGAGCATATGGCATAGTCCTACTGCACTTTTAAAAGTTGTCCCACAACCATTGCTAAGTAACCTTGCTGAACGCCCTAATGACTGAATCCAACGCCATGGACTATAATATGACACTCTTACTTACTGGTTTTGGCTGCGCAAACCCAGTTAGAAGCGATCCTGTTGTACCATTAACTCCCACTTAGGCGGTATTGAACTGACTGGATTTTCCTGTGATACCGGTACACAAGTTTTAAACTTGGAAGGATCCCAAGTCCACTCCAAAAGTCTGTGGTGGCTTTCTGGTTTTATCTACCTGTACAAATAAATACCATATCACTGCCAGTATGAAGCTTCATCTACATTCGCTTGTTGCTGTATTGCTTGGCCTTCCTTTGGTTTGGGGAGACAGCTTTGATGATAAGGCCAATGAGCTTCTTGCATCCACCAAAGTGCGAGGATTTGTGGTGGCAATCAAAGTTCCCGTAAGTGTTTACATTGGCTCTTTCACTGGATTTCTGTCTTTTTGCATCATCCTCACCAATTGATTGCTTCAGGAAAAGACTGATCCAGTGATTCGAGCCTACGGAAAGATCTCGGCCGCCTCAAATGCTGATGCTGTCACAATCGACACAGCATTCATGATGGCTTCAGTCTCCAAGCCCTTTGCAGGAGCGGCACTCGCCAAAATGATTGAACAAGGATTGATCCATCCGGATGACGACATAGAAGCCGTAATTCCTGTTGGCTATGGAGAGACCAACTATCTGAACACAAGACATAGAACCAGTCAAGTGACATTTCGGCATGTTGCAACGCATCGCAGTGGCCTTCGCGCAGGGATTCCTGATGTGTTGGGTACCAGGGGAAAAGTTAACCCAAGCTATGGTCCTACAGGTGCATACTTCGGGACTGCTGTGGGCAATCCTAGTTGCTCCATGATGAAAGATGTCAAAGGATTCTATCGCGACTATATGGAAGACGGGGCACCGGATACCACCGTTGGGAGGGCAGATCTATCCGTCTATCCCGGAGGTACTTTTGATTGGTACACCAATGCCGATGGGGCCAATGCCTGGTCCGCAAATGCAGCCGGAGCCACCAGCACCTACTCCAACTTTGGGATTGGATATATTGCTGCTCTGGTAGAGCACAAGACAGGAATTAGTTTTAGTCAGTACTGTAACACAAACTTGTTTGGTCCTCTTGGCATGACAAACACAAAATGGCACCGGGATGAGTTGCCAACGACCACCCAACAGGCAATTCCAGTTCAGTCGAATGGAGATGGTACATACCTTGACGTTGGGCACTATTGCTTCATTGATTATGCAAGTGGGCAACTTTACACCACCGCCAATGATGCTGCCAAGTGGGGGAATGAAATGCTCTCCAAGGGTACTACAACACTTTGGTCATCGGCAACCGCGGCACACGTGTTTGGGTGTCAGGAGGTTGACGCAACTGACTCACTACTACCAGAGGCAGACTGCGAATTCTCCTTGGTTTGGGAGTATCTAGGAGCTGCCAAGAAAGACAATCAGATTGCTGCAAATAGCTGGATGGCAGCTTTCCAGAACTATGATTGGACAGACAGTGTTCAGCATGGAGGTGAGGAAGCAGGAATAACATCTCACTTTATCATCTTTCCCAGTGCAGGCGCATATGGTGTTGTCATGATAAACTCAGCTGGCAAGAATGAAATGGATACCATTGCTGCAGAAGCACCTAAAACTATTCTTGGAGCTCTTTTCCCAGAGGCCCCAAATCCCCAGACATCAACACCTAGCCCAGCTCCTGGCCCTCCCTGCTTCCCCGCTTCCTTGTACACATCAGTCATTACACAAGCAACCCACCTTGTGGACTCGGCAGCGCTGGCTTTTTCCGGGTTCTGGGCCTGATCCTGACATGATCAAGTGGAAGGATTTGGACCTTATGGCCAGGCAATTTTAGAGTCAAGGAGCAGCATAGCATTCAGCCTTTGACCAGGCCATGAATTTTGTTGCTGCTTTTGTAACATGGTGGACTAGCTAATTATTTGGAATGCCATGGCCAAGTTGATTAGACAGCATCACCACTGCTTCACGGTGGTGTTCTTAAGGACAAACAGCAGTAGGCCAGTGCCTTCAACCTTTATTTTTCTTAAAGCTAAGCAACAAGTAGCATCCACATCACACAACATACAGAGCAGTCTGGCAAGGGAAATGAATTTTCAGCTTGCCTTTGCTACGGTAACTTCTCGTCGCAACATGCAGTACCGCACCCTGAAAAGGATCAAGAAAGGTATGGATAGACCTCGGCGGGGATATTTTCGAAAACGAAACAATTGTTTCGGAGGAGTCTTTGCGAGATTTCGTCCTTGGACAAACAATGACGACCCTCATAATCTGCCTCTTCTCTCTCATTTTGCCTTGGATGCATGTCAGGATTCGGGTATGGACCCTCCAAAGATTTGCTCGGCAGTTCCAGTGGATGACGTCATGTACCACTGGCAAGCTACGATTTTGCGACCTGACGAGTCGAGTCGCCTTATTAGAGGTGTTAGAGCTTAGGTTCTTTCGTGCAAGGGGTTTTTAGAGTAGGGAAATTAGCTACGGAAGCCAGCCGGGGCCAGGCTTAAGGTGGAGATTCACACGGTGTAAGCCAGTGCCAGTCTGTTTAAAATACCCCCGCTTTCACCACGTGTTATCGCGAGGAACAACAACAACGAAAGAATCGAACAGCTGCAGCTAAAGGTGGGCTAGAATCGCTGATGGCTTCAGCCATCGGTCTTTTGTATATACAAGAGCTGTTGCTAATAGTATTAGAGAGGTGTATTTGGCGAGCTTTGCCCGATGTTTGATGGACCTCTTCTCCATGTTGCTTGGTGAAGAACAGCGATCGATTCTTCGATTCTGCTGCTTCCGACCGATAAATCTCGATGCCTGCTGCAAGTACAGCCCTGCAACCAGGCACTACTCTCTTCCTTACACTATTAGCTGCCGCTAAGTGTATGTTTGTAGGGCTGAACAAGCAGCAGGCATCGAGAGAATGAGGTCTCTAACACTCACACCCATGTTTTGTGCTGATGGCGTTTTTCGAGCTGTTCATGGAATCCTGTTTTCTGCTTTCTCGCGAGAGTTTCTTTTGAAATTCGCATTCAAATCCAGCGAGTGTGACCAATCCGTGTTCCTGGTACTATTTCACTATAGAAAGCAATTCGGCGAGCCGGAACGGCTGACCAAAATGTGAGGTGAAATTTTGAACCCAGAACCGTTGCCTTGGAAAGAACGCCATCAAAACTTTACCATGCCGGTAGAATAGATCTTCGTATCTTCGTCTGAGTGCTGACAGTACATACCATTTCGAGGCAACGAGAGGAAGACGTACGATTTCGCAACACATGCACTATCAACATTACTCTGTCTAGCTAGCTAGTAGCTAGCATTCTAGATTGTATTGGTGGGGTCTTCCTCATCACTATCAAGGTCTTCCTCATCAGATGTGTCATCATCTAAACAAGCAAGATGCTCTGTTCCAGGCACAATAGTGTCTAATGGCAACTCCTCCAAACAGGACAAATCATGGGCTCCATCCCCTGCTAAAGCAAGGACATCTTCTGCAACTGATTCCTCGTCAACAGGCAAAGCAATTGCCTCCTCACTAGGCAAAGCTGCAGCAGCACTGGTAGGCCCTTGTGGGGATGCTTCTGCCACAATGTCAGATAGCACCCTGCCAGTCTCCTTGCAGTAGATTGGTGGGGCTTCGACATCACTCTTTCCAGCAAGAGGGCACGCCTTCTTGGCCCTCTTGGAGACATGGCCTGCCTTTCCACAGAATGGACAATACTTCTTTGCCTTCTTAGCTTTCTTTGGCAATGGAGCCATATTGTTGAGTTGGTCCATCGTGACATCCTCCATATTCATTCCAGGACGGTAGACACCCTTGCTCTTTGCCTTTTTGGTAAAGGCGTTGATCGTTTCTTTGGCTAGCTTGTCGCGTTTTCTCTTGTAGCGGATTACTTTGTATTCGTTCGTTTTCTTTTTGGCTTGTTGCTTTTCCCGGTTTCTCTGGACGACGCCCAAGTAGTGAGCCATCCCGTCGGTCATGTCAATTCCGAGCTTGAACAGTAGACGGCGATAGAACTGTTCATATCCAATGGAATGAATACATACCGCCATTCCAAGACGGTTGCGAAGGGAGCGCGTGCTGGCAAACACCTTATTCTTAGGAGCAAACCAGGTGGCGAGGCTGTTGAAGGACTCATTGGCGTTGGTATCCAGTCCATGAGCCAATTCCTTCAAGCGTGCCAACGTAATGTATTTCGCCACGATGGTGTTCAGCAGGTCGTAGAGTTCCAAATCCTCGTCCTTGTTGCGATAGAACTTCTTGCTTATCTTTCGCTCGTCCTCCGTCTCTTTTGACCGGAGGCACCAAGGGCCACAGTTCGTATGGTTGTCAAAGTGGTGATCCAATACGGCCTTGCCACGGCTTTCAAATTGATCTTCCATGATCTCTTGGAGCGTACGAATAAAATAGGCAAAATTCTTCCCAAGACGGATAGAATCCATTCGGCACATGCCTTTCTTTTTGTCGACGGTAGAAAGATCCAATCGAATTAGTTCGCCCGTCAACTGTTTGCGGCGGTGGTTTGGATCAGCAACAAACTTCGGCTCCGGAATATCGCCAGGTAATTTGCCTTTGTCGGGGCGGTCTTGCAGCTGGCCCTTGTTCTTTCCTTTCGTAATCTTTACTTGCGGAAGAACCTCAGTTTGATTGTTGATCTTGTAATTCGCGTTGCTCCACTGCAAGTCAGCACGAATGGAAGAGTCATCGTCGCAGCACAACCGACGCATGATCACTTTGGACTCCCGGAACAGACCAACGACCAGTTCCAAGGCAAGAGCGGCTTCCATTGATCCTGAGGAATCTTCAGGATTATGGTTCCTTGTGCAGACGTGCTCGGGTACAGCTGGACGGTCAGCGGCGTCCATATCAGCATGTTTCTTTGCCCAAAAATGGCATTTACTGCAAACTTTGCTTTTGATGCCAAACGAGATGATCTTTCTCGTAATGGCACCAACAATGGCACCATGACCAGACACAGAATTCCGCAAGTGGCCGGATCCTTTCTGTTGCCACGCCATATCATACGCACCGTCAACAAACGGCATTTTGTCCTTGAGTAACGTGCCGTTGGGATCGTTCAAGGCAGTCACCCAACTAAGATAATCTTGCTCATTTGAAGTCGACTTACGAACCTCCTCCATAAGATTTTCACGGATAACTTCATCAGTCAATTCCCGAATGAAGGGCGCAATTCGTTCCTCAATTATTCCAAATGAACGAGCTTGCATCGTAGTGTCGTTCGGTAGGCCCAATAGACCAAGAATTCGGGCTGCTTCGGTTCCACCATCACCATTCGCCATATTACCCAATATGTACAACACATTTAGGGCGTGGTCCGTGCTCCTTTCAACCTTATCATTACCCACGCCATGTATGGTTGTTTTAGTTGGCTTGTCGCTGTTGTACATGTAATCACAATTGTCATTCGAACATTCCAGCTTGAACGAGGAGGTGATACAGCAGTTGTGGATGCTCAACAGAAGGGAACCATCGCAGTTGTCTCTGGGGCAACGCATCTCACGGAAACAATTGTTCAGTTGATTGGTTTCCAGAATGACTCGTTGATGAGATTTGGTGTTGAATTTTGGCGTGGCTGCTTCCTCGTTTTCCTCTTCGGTGGTAGTGATTTCTTCTTCTGCCGCTGCTGGATCCTCTTCAAATTCCGGTGCTGTTGGATTTTCTTCCTCATCTTCGCTCTCCTCATAGACGAGTCTTCTGTAATTTGGTCTTCCTTTGCCATCATTCCTTGTCCTAGACGAAACAGAGCCAAATCCTGGAAGGTTCCAATCGACTTCCTTTGAAGCCAGTTTAGCATATTCAATCGAAGCATTAGCTTTCCATAAGCCTCTACTATTACCAGTTGGAGTGGGTGTGACAGCGCTAACAGCGCGGTTGGTTCTGATGCAACGACGATCCATCCTGAAAAATGAGAGACCAAGGTGCTCTATGTTTGTTGGCATTCTACCCAACGCAATATGTACGGGTTCACGGTATAATAATTTGGCGCTTACAGGATAGCTCGGCATGCTTTCCATGTCTGAAAGATTTATGCGTGAAGGTCGGTCAGGTGCGGGAACAATCTAGCGAACCTAAAATTTGGCTCGAACTCATCCGTCGCCTTATCCGGTGAGAATATCATGGAGTAGAATTCCAGATTCCGTACATATGGGAAAGATTGACCAAAAAACAAGCGAAAAAGGGCACCGGTACTATTACAATAGCCGCTGGCTTACATCGCGTGAATCTCCACCAGTCGAAATTCAGTACTAGGTTCGGTGGGATCAGGGGCAAGAAATTGAGGACCAGTACGGGGGGCAAAGGGTTTGGCTTTGCGGGATCGTGGTACTAGTATTTATTTTCCCGAGGATTACCCGTTCAAGCAACCCAAGATGAATTTTGCCACACGGATATACCACTGCAACGTTTATTCCAACGGAGGTATGGAGCTTGACATCACCAAGGATAATTGGAGCCCAGCATTGACCAGCAGCCTGTTTTCTATCCGATGCCTCTCGAGTGCTGCTTGGTCCCCGACATTCACAGCTTCTTCAGCAAGCGAAAAGACCTGAAATCAATCGAATAAATCGAGTCGATTCGAATAGTTCGAATTCATTCGATCGAGATCTGATTAATCATCCGATTCAATCCACGAATGAATCCAACCGTCAGGTTTTTGCGATCCAACCGCAACGTCCAACCGCAACGCCCAGAACGGACAAACTACTAGTAGTAGAGTCTAGGTTCAATTTCACATTTTCAGTTTCACGTTTTTGTGAAACTAGGATTTTGTTTCACAAATACAATTTCACAGTTTATAAACAGTTTCACAGGTCTGAAACTATTCTCACGATTTTCCGCGAAACAAGTTTCAATTTCACACTATTGATGATAGTTTCACACTGTGAAACTGTCCAAAACAATGGGAGTGGCGTTCCCGGACCTTCAGTGATGCGAAACCCTGTGTGGTGTTTATTTTTGTTTTTTCTGCATGTACAAACAAACATCACATCACGCCAGTATGAAGCCTCATCTCCATTCGCTTGTTGCTGTATTGCTTTGCCTTCCTTTAGTTTGGGGAGACAGCTTTGATGATAAGGCCAATGAGCTTCTCGCATCCACCAAAGTGCGAGGATTTGCAGTGGCAATCAAAGTTCCCGTGAGTTCATGTCTTGTAGATTCTTGCAGGCTCAGAATTTTGTTACATCGTCGTTCTCACAAGCACTTCAGGAACAAACCAATCCAGTGATTCGAGCCTATGGAAAGGTCTCGGCTGCTGCAAATGCTGCTGATGTTACCACAGATACAGCTTTCATGATGGCTTCTGTCTCCAAGCCCATCGCAGGAGCAGCAATCGCCAAAATGATCGATCAACGATTGATCACTCTGGACACTGACATTCGAACCGTCCTTCCTGCTGGATATGCGGCAACCAACTATCAAAACCCACTTCATACCTCCAAGGCCGTGACCTTTCGGCATATTGTGACACATCGCTCTGGACTTCGGCCTGACATCCCCGACGTGTTAGGTACCAGGGGACAAGTGTCCCCAAGCTATGGTCCCACAAATGGTTACTTGGGGTCTGCTGTGGGCAATCCTAATTGCTCCTTGACAGATGTCAAAGGGTTTTATCGAGATTATATGGAACAAGGGGCACCTGATACCACCGTTGGGAGGGCAGATCTATCAGTCTACCCCGGAGGTACTTTTGATTGGTACACCAATGCCGACGGGGCCAATGCCTGGTCGAGAAATGCATCTGGAGCCAACAGGAACTACTCCAACTTTGCGATGGGATACATTGCTGCTCTGGTAGAGCACAAGACAGGAATGAACTTTAGTCATTACTGTGACACAAACTTGTTTGGTCCTTTGGGCATGACAAACACAAAATGGCTGCGGGAAGAGTTGCCCAACACAACTCAACAGGCTGTTCCAGTTCGTTCAAATGGAGATGGCACGTACTTTGACATTGGCCACTATTGCTTCATTGACTATACCAGTGGACAGCTTTACACCACCGCCAATGATGCTGCCAAGTGGGGGAATGAAATGCTCTCCAAGGGTACTACAACACTTTGGTCATCGGCAACCGCAGCACAAGTGTTTGGCTGCCAGGAGAAAGATGCAAGTAACACGCAACTATCTGAGTTTGATTGTGAATATTCCTTAGCTTGGGAGTATCTGGGATCTGCCAAGAAAGACAGTCAGATTGCTGCAAATACTTGGATGGCTGCTTTTCAGAACTACAATTGGACGGACAGTGTTCAGCATGGGGGTGGGGAACTAGGAGTAACAACTCAGTTTATCATCTTTCCAAGTGCAGGGGCCTATGGTGTGGTCATGATAAACTCAGCTGGGGCTGAAAAAGATGCGGTGGCTGAAGCAGCTGCTATTAATATCCTTGGAGGGCTTTTCCCAGAGGCACCAAAAGTTGAGACACCAGCACCTGCACCTGCTCCTGGTCCTTCCTGCTTCCCCGCTTCCTTGTACACATCAGTCATCCAACAAGCAAGCCGCCTTGTGGACTCAGCATCGTCGGCTTTTTCCGGGTTCTGGGCTTGAAAGCAAAGAATGGCACCAAAAGTTCTTGCTTGGTTCGATTCTCTGTCGATGTTCCACTGTCAATTAATACTCTACGCTTGATCTGTCATAGCAGGTGTTGCTAGAGGTGGTTGGATGTAAAGTAGGTGGAACAGCTACATAAAAATTACATTCTATACTTTTTGACACGCATTCGACAAATAAAAACCTTTCGTAGGTTCTCTCATCGTTCGCTGCTTGGCGTTGCGATGCGTTTCTTTCCAATCAATCCACAATCTGTTCGAATCGGTACTCGACTGTATGTTCATAATGGGCACTTCCAGGTCGCAAAATGTGGCACTTGCCACTGGCGAATTCTGGAAATTCTGTTTCTTCTTCTGGGCTGAGTATGGAGTCTGGGAAATGCTGTGTTTCCAAACACATTCCCTGCCATTGCCCATAAACAGCTCCATCCTTGCAGATTTGAGCATCCGGATTGACACCATCCAAGTAATTACCCGTATAGACCTGGACACCCGGGGCACTGGTGTAGACCAGCATGCGACGTCTGGATGCTTCATGTTCGATAGTGCCCACAAGATTGAGATTTTCCGAGGGACTACTAGTCCTGTCCACCACGTAGTTGTGATCAAATCCATACGGCTCTCCAGGTGTCAGGCAATCCTTGGGCCCTGATTTGGCCACGGTAGCTCCAATTCGGGCCCCAGACTGGTGCTGAAAGGCTTCTTCTTCCGTAAGTCCAGCCTTCTTTGTAGCGAAACCTTTGAGTGCTTCTCTCATCAAGACTCCACCGGTCAGATCCATGGCTGGATCATCCTTGACCGCCACGACTCTGCGAGTCGGAATGGAAGTGGCATCATTCGGGGTGTAGTAGGGACATGCGAGACGAACCGTATGATCCAAAATCCCATGTGGGTCATTGTGTCCTGCCAGATTAAAGTAAGTGTGCTGTGCCAAGTTGATGGGCGTCGCTTTTTCATCTTGCAGATGTGCCTTCATGTCCAGTCGTAGCGCCGCTCCCGCACCTAGTGGGGTTTTGGGTTGCAAGGAATACGTCGCCGTGACCAGAACGGTCCCTGGATACCCTTGATCACCGTCTTGATTCTGGAGAGTGCACCGGACACCCCTCGTGGTCTTTCCTCCTTCTCCCATGGGTACATCAACCATTTCCATCTCCCAGAGGCGACGATTGAATCCTCCGCTGCCACCATGAAGATGGTTGGGCCCATTGTTGAGTTCGAGTGAGTAGCTGTTTCCGTCCAGTTGAAATTTTCCCTTGGCGATTCTATTGGCTACCCTTCCAACAACCACTCCCAAAAAGGGAGGGTTTCCTGAGGAGAACATTTCTGCTGGACTCTTGTAGCCCAGAGTAATATCATCGGTTCGGGAACCATCTTCGTTTGGGAGCAAGATTTTGGTAATGGAGGCACCAACCGAAGAGATTTCCACGACCACTCGATTTAAGGAGAGCCGGAAAACCCGAATTGTCTTGGTCTCATTGTTCTCGTCAACTACCGAGAGGGAAGGGATTACTTCGTCGACTTCTGCCATGGTGCGATTATTGTGCAATCGGAGTGACAATTGTGTTTTCTGCCAGGTGGTCGTGATGACGGTGATGACTTCTTTCAAATGAATAGTGTTATCAGACCAAATAGCAATAGCCGTGGCGGGTTCTTTTGCAGTAACGATAGTGCATGCGGAAGAAGTGCTGGGTGGCTGTGGAAGCAGTTCGGAGTCAGTCAGTGCGACTCACTCCCCGCTTCAGTTGCTTCGGTTTGATTGCGCCAGGTAGCCCTTTCGGTGCGCCATTGTCTACTCGCAGGATGGCTTCATGCTGGTTGCTTTCTCTGAAACCACCGGTACTCGTAACTGTCAACTCCAACGGGCGCTCTCTGTGTTCGCGACTGTACTCGTGAATAACCGATGACGTATGCGTGGTGTCAAAGATGAAGACACCCTTTGAAATTTGCTTTGGGAAACCTGACCATGACATTCATCTCATCATTTCTCTGTGGGTAGCTATCTCCTCTAACTAAGCCATCACCTGTTGAACACCTTGAGCAACCTACCTAACTAGATAGAACCATGTTCATCAAGTTACTTTCCTTTGCCGCAATCGTTGGCGTTTCGGTGGTTGCTGGCTTTCAAGCGCAGTCCACCAGAACAACCACAACCAACACGGACATTTCGCGTGATGACTTTCTCAAGACTTCGGCCGTCGTGAGCATTGCTGCAGCGATTTTGCCGTCACCCGCCATGGCGAGAGGTCGAGCCACTTTGGAATATTCATATGACCGCTACACGCCGAGAATCGTTGAAGGGGGCAAGTTCTATACAGGCGACCTCAAAAAGTTGGTGGAAAAGAGTGACTGGAGTGGCATCAAGAATGCACTGGCCGAACCACCCAAGCGAACCAAGAGCGACTTGGTCAAACAAGACGCAGGCATCTCGGAACGAGCGGCTCAAGCGGGACAGTTCTCGGATGCTCGTGTCATTGTGGCCTGCGATCTCTTTGCCTCGGCGTTCTCAGACAACTCCATCAGCTCCAAGACCAAAAAGATGAAGGAACAAGTCGATATTCTGCGATCCACTGTGGAAGAAATGGATATGACAGCCAAGATTGCCTTGGGAGAAGTCTCCACTGGAGGACTTTTTGGAATTGGAGGCAAAAAGCCATCTCAGTCCGAGTCTGCCAAAAAGATGCGTGAATTATACATGGCTGGAGGCACCGCTTACAACAAGTACATCTTTCTCTCCAACGATGAACTCCCGCTTTCGTTGAACAAGCTACCTTATCTGCGGTAATTAACAGTACTGGGTAGAACTTGTAGCTAGCTGCGGTATGTTTGCCATTCGGGCCAAGTATGTCATTTGTTAGTACGGCTGTACCAGTACTTAGCTCACCGCGCATCCTGCACTGTACCGTACTCCGTATGCCACAGCCGATCTGATACGGCAGGTATCATATCTCCGCCATGTCAGACTCGACATTATGCACTCATTCTGATCTCTGATTGTTCGTTTGTGTTGAAGAGGAGGTCCCGAACACCCTACCAACAGAATTGAACCCCATTGAGCACACAGTACATGTATGTGTGCCCATTCAAGTCTCCAACTCCAGCGTGACTCGACTCTTTAAGTTACTACTAAGACCTTCCAGTAGCGAGCCGTCCTCGTTCGTTTGCTTTGTCAGCTCCGGCAATATTCGCGGATCATAGTGGTCAAGCCATTGTGGGTGATGGTGCAGTACTGTGCCGGTAACAGAGCGAAAGTACTACGGTACATGTAGTCTACAGCTAGCTGTACATGTATCTCATGATGTTGTGTCCTCAGCAACTGGTTTGTAGATGTAGCAAGCCAGCAGAGCCGCATAGACATGTGGTTATCTGGTTTCCTTGAAGCTTTTCTTTAAGACAAAACCCTAGTCCTAACGGAAGCTAAGTTTTTCAACACGAAAGAGCAAAGAAGGAGGCTAACGGCACCTCGCGACAGCTGGTTGGCAGAGCACTGGCAGTTATTGCACGGTAGAGTCTGTTTTCCACCCGTACCAGTAGCTATCGCGTAAAAGTGCTACTATGGAGTTTTCTACGCGGTGTAACGCGTGAAATCGCCTCCACGACGGCGCCTTTGATCGCTACATCAAGCAGTCTCATTTCAGAGACTTGTTGTTGTTGAAAACGAAATAACTATCACCATGGCGTACTCAGAGGAAAGCGAAGAGGAGGAGGAAGTCGAGGAGGAAGAAGAGGAAGTAGAAGAGGAGGTTGAAGAGGAAGAAGAGGAGGAAGAAGAGGAGGAACCCGTGAAGAAGAAACGAACCCGAAAGGACAAGAAATGGAAGGTAAGACTACTGGGATTGTGTTTGATGGCTATCTGCGTTTGGCTGTGAACAATGCTAACAGCAGTGAGTGTTGCCGCTACAGGACCCCGATAAACCCAAGCGCGCCATGAGTGCGTTCTTCCTGTACTCTCAGGGCAATCGCTCTCGTGTCAAGGAAGAGAATCCGTCTGCCAGCTTTGGAGATGTTGTAAGTCATATTGGAGTGTTTGCCAATGGTTATTGTTTGATTGGTTGTGCCGTGGAGATGTTGATTTTGGGGCATCTTGGCTCGAAATATGTTGGTAGGGTGTCTGTCGCGTTGTTGTGTGCTGGCTACCTTATGCAGTGATTTTATGCGGCTCAGTGTTGTCGTGGTAACATCGCGATAGCACATTCAACACGCTAAACACCGTGATAGCCCTTCATCGCGTTGCATCGCGATGCCCCAACAAAGGAGGCTAACGAGGCAATCTCAAGCTTTGCAGTTCCTGGTACATTTTCTACGCGATCCTACGGTATCGCCTCTTGCTCCACTCCAGACACCGTCAACGCCTTGTTGTCGCGCGGTGTGCGCGAATTGTTGCGTCTTTGAATGTCTTACAAGACTGGATCACATTTATTCGTGACTTATATTTTAATCAACCGTGACTTACTTTTTCCCTTCTCCGTGATTGGTGCAGGCCCGCACACTTGCGGCCCAGTTCAAGGAACTCCCACCCGGGGAGAAGAAGAAGTGGGAAAAGAAAGCGGCTGCAGACAAGGCCCGATACCAGGAAGCAATGAAGCACTACGTTCCGACTGAAGACCCTACTGGTGGCCGCAAGGGTGAGTTCAGCGGACCGGCTAGCGAGGTCTTTGGTGTTGTGTCTGTGGATTTTTCTCTGACATGTTCTCGTTTTCGAATCAAACAGGCAAAAAAGCCAAGAAGGATCCCAATGCCCCGAAGCGCAATATGAGTGCCTACTTTCTTTACTCCGTGTCGGCTCGTCCTACTGTCAAGGAGGAGAACCCCGAAGCCTCATTCGGTGACATTGCCCGAATCATCTCGGCACAGTTCAAGGCCCTGACTCCAAAGGAGCGCTCGAAGTGGGACCAGAAAGCCGCAGATGACAAAGTTCGATACCAGAGGGAGATGGAAGCGTACAAGGAAGAGTGAGAATGGGACATGACTTCTTTTTATGATGATGATGACTACTCTTTGATGTGACCAAGAATGACTGCTTTTTATGTAACGATGATATTGATTGAGAGAATAGCAAATGATATAAGATCCTATTACAATGTGTTGTGTTGAGCCATGATCATAACGTAGTATGTACCTGGTACCTTAACGTAGCTCCGTTAGTACTGTCACGGTTGAAGCAGAGCGCAATGATACCTGGGTAGCTTGACCGTATGCATAACATGGGGTGTAATAGAAGGGAGATGAGCCAGCAAGTCTGTGGATGAACGGAAACCTCAAAAGGGTCGTCGACGCCCTCGAACTATAATAAAACTCTGTAGTTATTTCGTCTCCCTGGAGACGATTTGCTTTAGGGGTAATGGTACCGATGGGGGAGTGAGGTTTGAATTATACGCCGGCGCGCATTACTTAGAAGGCCCTGTAGAAGTCTACGTATTCGACTAGTATTGTTATTGACGGGATACATCAACGCCATGTAAATGCAACATGAAGTCGCCTTGCGTTCTTCACATTTTTAAAGTTGGCTCTAATTTTTCGGGGTCGCCTGTGATTTTGATTGGACGCTTGATCTTTTTCAATGACTGACACTTTGAATTGACGTACGAGGGTGCAATGCGAATCTCAGAAGTTAGTTGTAGTAATAAATGTTTTTATATATAGATTATATTTACCCTATATCCCTACCTTTATACTTATAACAAGAATCCCGTCTTCTTCGCTGGAACATTTCATCGTATTTATCTCTCCTAGGACAGAAAGCCCAATAGTACCTTAAATCTTGCAAGCATGTCTCTCACTCGTTGTGGCATGGCAAAGTTCTTTGGTTCCAAATCCATCTTCTTCAATAAAGAACAAACACACTCATGGTATCGCACCCTTGATAACACCACGTAAGACCAGTTTTGACAGTATCGCCATGAATGTACCAATAACCACTCTGCAGTATATCCCTGTAATTTGTGTCAGTTGTCGCAGAATTGCATGATAATCAGGGAACTGCTTACCTTCATCTCGGTGTGTAAACTTCTCCGCCGTCTCCCATAAAACCATCTGGTCGGTGAAAGTGTAGTCTTGCTCCGTTACATGAAAAGTACGTGGCATAATAGCACCATTTCATGTTCCACAAGGATAGATTGGACTTGACCTGAGAAAAAAAGCCCGAATCTCGCAGCCGTTGTCGAGTTGAATAACCATGGGGGTGCAAACCATCCCTCACATTCACCTTCTACACATAAAGCCGAGACCATTGGTTCTCCATTCAGGAACATTCGTGTTCTCTGTAAACATTACAGGCAACACACCCGCACACCCTTATCACCTATATAACTTCAAAGTCAGGATCAACACGTTTTCGTGAGTCCGAACCGGTTTTTAGATCGAGTGCTTCTCCACATGTTGAAAAGAGTGCTTTGAAAACCGATATTGCTCTTTAACAGGAACCAGTGTCCCTGTTCTGATTGGCCATTTGAAGATGGTCCATGAAAATGAGTAATGCATCCATCAGCACGGAACATCAGCAGGTTT